GTATAACAAAAAATGAACAACAGATTTGAAATTTATAGGACTAGGTTTGACTAACTAGGCCAAAATAAATAAGAGAATGATCTTAGTCAATTCACTGCATCTCCCTGGGCTTGTCACCTTTCAGGTAGGGTCACAGCATTCCTTAGAGCTGGAGGCTAACGCAGGTGGACCATGAGGTCAAGAGATTGAGACCATCCTGGTCAACATGGTAAAACCCCATCTCTACTAAAAATACAAAAATTAGCTGGGTGTGGTGGCACGCACCTGTAATTGCAGCTACTGGGGAGGCTGAGGCAGGAGAATTGCTTGAACCCAGAGGTGGAGGTTGCAGTGAACTGATATCATGCCACTATACTCCAGCCTGGCGACAGAGCGAGACTCCGTCTAAAAAAAAAAAAAAAAAATTGCTTAAACAGCATATGTAAAAGGCATAGTGCTGTGCTGTCCCTGGCTCTTTCAGAAGGTGCTCCAGGAAATGTCAGCCCCCTTCCCGTCCCCTCAGCACACAATCTGAACAGATGAATTACTGCCATATACCACAGGCTGTCATATGCCTCTGTGAATGCAGTCAGAATAAGTCTCTGCTATTTGGACAGAATAAACACAACTTCAGGTCTGGCCCTAGGACTTGCTTTTCTTTCTTTCTTTTTAAAGGCACTTACACCAGATATATTTCCGTCTCATTTGGCCTTCTTTTTCTCATAAAAGTGGAATTTAAGCATCCGAGGCATATGACTCCTGGGCAATGGGATATGGCTGCCCTTCAGCAAATATATTCCTACTTTCCAAGTAGGTTTCATCCCCTTCAAAAAGTCAGCTCCTTTTCTGCTATCTTCACTTCAGTTAACATTTCATAGACCCTCTGTGTGAAAGGAATTACACACACACACACGTACGCACACACACACATCCAACTTATCCATTCTGAAGGAAATCACAAAGCAGTCAAGCAAGCAATAAGGCAGCCACATATATATGCATGTGTATTTTAATTCAGCCTTCCCAGGAATTTTTGCTCTTCAGTTTCCTAATACTTCAAACATGCTTTAAAGGCCTCTACGCTTAAACCATTTAGTTGCTAGCACAGCTAAGTACAGATATTATTTACTTGGGTAGTTTTACAAAAAAAATTTTTACTACTTCGTCCCCACGCACACCTATGAAGTAGGAGCTCTGGGTTTTCAGTCTTACTGTGGAGATGGGCAAATGCAGGTGTGACTGCATGTAATTCAGGTATAAAAAGAGAAATAATAAGTTAGAGATGGTATCTTGCTTCATATCTGTAAACCAAAAAACACAAAATACATGATTTACTCACCTCACTAGGAATATATTTTGGCAACTCTGTGAATGATAATGGCCTGCCTTAATTTCCTAAGGCTTGAAATTTGGTTGGGCTAATCCTGAGTTTGTGATCCATCACCTTTCGTTCTCCTGTTATACTTTCTACTTGATTGATGGCGTGTTTCCTTTATACTTACTGTTTTCTTCTAGCTGCCAGAGTTGCCTCAATTATTCCAAGACACATACCTTAAACTCTACTAACCTCAGAAAAGAGAAGAGGTAATATCATATATTTTAATAAGCCTCTAAAGAAAATTTAGTGAAAAATAAAGACTACAAAGACAATAGAAAAGATCAATGAAAGTGAGACTTCATTCTTTGTAAAGATAAAATCAACAAAACTTTCGCCAGACCAAGAAAAAAGGGAGAAGATTCAAATAGATAAAATCAGAAATGAAAGAGAAGATATTACAACAGATATTATAGACATACAAAAGATCATAATAGACTGCTATGAACAATTATACACCAAAAAATTAGATAATCTAGAAGAAATGGATGAAGTCCTAGAAACATACAACCTAGCAAGACTGAATCAAAGTAATAAAAAATCTGAACAGACCAAAAGCAAGTAAGGAGATTATGTCAATATTATTAATAAAAATATCTCCAATTAAAGAAAAATCTAGGACCTTATAGCATCACAGCAGAATTCTACCAAACATATAAAGAAGAACTAATACTAATCTTTCTTAAAACTCTTTCAAAATATTAAAGAAGGAATACTTTCAAATTCATTTTATGAGACTAGCATTATTCTCATACCAAAGCCAGACAAACATGCTACAAGAAAAAAAAAATTCCAGGCCAATATCCATGATGAGCATGGAGGCAAAGCTCCTCAAGAAAATACTCGCAAACCACATTCAAAACACGGTGAATGATTAAAATAATCATTCACTATGATCAAGGGGGATTTATCCTTGAGATGTAATGATGATTCAAACTATGCAAATATTAATAAATTAATGTAATATACCATATTAAAAGAATGACGGATGACAACCATATGATCATCTCAATAGATTCAGTAAAAGCATTTGACAAAATTCAGCATCCTATCACGATAAAAACTCTCAACAAGTTAAGCATAGAAATAATGTGTCTCAATACAAGAAAGGCCATATATGAAAAGCTCAGAGTTAACATCATACTAAACAGTGAAAAGTTGAAAGCTCTTTAAGATCAGAAACAAGACAGGCATGCCCATTTTGACCACTTCTATTCAATAAAGTACTGGAAGTTTTAGCCAGAGAAATTAGACAAGAAACAAAATTTTTAAAAAAACACAATTGAGACCTTGAATATTCAAAGCAATCTTGTGCAAAAAGAACAAGGCTAGAGCCATCACAAGAAGATGAGAAAATAAATAACCCAATCAAAAAAATTGGCAAATGACCTAATGACACTTCTCAAAAGAATACATACAAATGGCCAACAGGTATATGAAAAAAAATGCTCATCATCATTAGTCATCAGGGAAATGGGAATTAAAACCATGATAAGATATCAACTCACCCCTGTTAGAATGGCTCCTATAAAACAGACAATAGTAACAAATATTGGTGAGGGTGTGGAGAAAATGAAACCCTTGTGTACTCTTGGTGGGAATGTAAATTAATATAGCCATTATGTTAAACAGTATGGAGTTCCTTCAAAAACGTAAAAAGTAAAATTAACATATGAACCAGCAATCCCACTTCTGGGTAATAGCCAAAGGAATTGAAATTAGCATGCTATAGAGATATCTGTATTCCCATGTTCACTGCAGCATTATTCACAATAACTAATATATGAACACAACCTGCTTGTCCATCATCAGATGAATAAATAAAGAAAAGATGGTATATATAGACAATGTACTACTATTTAGCTTCAAAAAGGGGAGAAATCTTGTCATTTGCAATGACATGAACGAACCTTGAGGATACTATGTTAAGTGAAATAAGCCAGGAAGACAAATACTTCATGATCTCACTTATATGCTGAATCTGAAAATGTTGAACTCATAAAAGTAGCAAGTAGAATAATAGTTACCAAAGGCTAGGGGAGGGGTTTTCTTAGTTCATTGAGTGTTGTTATAAAGAAATACCTGAGATTTGGTAATTTATATAAGAAAAAGATTTATTTGGCTCATGATTCTGCAGCTAAACAAGAAACATGGTTTTATCATCTGCTTCTGGTAAGGGTTTCAGGCTGTTTCCACTCATGGCAGAGGGGAAGGGGAGCTGGCATGTGCAGAGATCACATAATGAGAGAGGAAGCAAGAGAGTGGAAAGGAGGTGCTAGGCTCTTTTTAATAACTAGCTCTCACAGTAGCTAACAGTGAAAACTCACTCACACCCTGAGGGAGGACATCAGTCTATTCATGAAGAACCTAACAACGTGACCTGAACATCTGCCTACAGACTCCACCTCCAATATCAAATTTCAACATGAGATTTGGAGGGGACAAACATCCAAACTGTAGCAGGGGTGGATGGACTAAGGGGAGATGATGATCAAAGGGTATACAGTTTCAGCTAGACAGCAGTAATAAGGTGTAGTGATCTGCTTCACAGAAAGATAACTATAATAAATAATAATGCATTGTATAGTTCAACATTGCTAGAAGAATGCATTTTAAATGTTTTCACCACAAAAAAAATAAGTAGGTGAGGTGACAGATTTGTTAATCAGCCTAATTTAATCATTCCACATTGTAAACACGTAACAGAACATCACATTTACATCACAAAAGTATATACAATTATTTGCCAATTAAGAATAAAATTAAATAAAAATAAAATTCAGATGAAAATGAGCTCTCATACATTCTTCAAGACCCAAATACCACCTTCTCTGTAAAATTCTGTACTGGTACCCATACTTGACCACATGCATCCTTATCCCACTCTGCTTTGTATTCTTCTTCTGTTATGACTCCAATATCAGTGAAGAATTATAATTATGTATTTGCCTCTCTTTCTCTCATTAGGATGTGAGCCTCTCAAGAGAAGATGCTCATTTTTGCATAGAAGATACTGAATCCAAGTTAGATAAAACGGTATTAAAGAACAAAAATTTATAAAAGAGGAGCTAAACGTCCAGTCTGTATTTGAATTATTTGAGTTCTCAAATGTAAATGGATATCTTCTGATGTCCTGTAAATTCTATAACAATTTTAGTCATGAATACATTAGGATTTCAAACCATCACAATCTACTCAGCTAAATGCCTTCAATTCTGATCCTGAGACATATGGAGGACATGGTGCCAAGATGTTGGACATGAATTTTGGTGGCTCTAAATTCTTTTGTCTTGTTTTTAAGACAATAAAGCCATGATTAAGTCATTGAGCTTCAGTGATAACAATGAGAATCCGTTATCTTGCAAACCCTTTCCCTTATGATAGTTCTTCAAGATATTAAAAAAAAAAAGAAATCACACCAGCAAGCACTAAGTTTAAAATATTGTGTTCACTGGATCATATTAAAAATCAAATTGCTTTACTTACCTTTCCATAACTTTAGTTATAAAATTAAGTGATGTGAATTTTATTTTTAACATCAAAATGAGTAAGAAGAAGAATACTAAATCTCATGCCCTAAGGATAATCTCCTTTGGTTAGGTGTAGTTAAAAAATTAAACCTTTCAGATCACATTTAATACCATACCTGTCCTGTGTATGCAAACTCCAGAGCCTGCTTTAAGCCGAGGCTGGTCACACCGTGCAAATTAACCTCATCAGCTCCACTTTCCACCATACAAAGACTGAACATTGCCTGAGGTAAGGAAAGAGAGAAAGATACTTACAAGACTTTAAAAGCAAGGGAGCAAGACAAAGTCCTAGAAAGACCAGGGAAATAAAGTTTTACAAATTATTAATTGATTTTGATTTTTGAAATGCTTCTACAAACCTTCATTCATACAAACCACTGCAAATCATTTTGATGTCTAATCTGTTACAATAACAACACACTCAGGATGGCATTCCTCACTATATATACAGTACTTCTATAAATAATACACAGTCTCATTTTGAGATGTTGATGTTTTGGCTCACTGAACTCTTTCTCTTCGGCCTGGATTCTCATTGTTACCAAGTTATATGCAGCAATCCCAAACATCCTGCCCAACAGGACATGAAAAGCCTCATCTCCTGACTTCTCTGCTTTTTTCTGCCTCAGTTGAATGAAACAGCTGGTTCCTCTCATCTACTATTGCATTAGTTCATTTTCATACTGCTACAAAGAACTGCCTGAGACTAGGTAATTTATAAAGAAAAGAAGTTTAATTGACTCACAGTTCAGAATGGCTGGGGAGGCCTCAGGAAACTTACAATAATGGCAGAAGGCAAAGGGGAAGCAAGGCACCCTTTTCACAAGGTATCAGGAAAAAGAAATGCATCAGGAAGAAGTGCTGAGCGAAGGGGAAGAGCCCTTTATAAAACCATCAGAGCTTTTGAGAACTCACTCACTATCATAAGAACAGCATGAGGGAAACTGCCCCATTATCCAACTACTCTCCACCCGATCTCTCCCTTGACATTTGGGGATTATAGGGACTGTGGGGATTATAATTCAAGATGAGATTTGGATGGGGACACAAAGCCTAGCCATATCAGCCGTGTATCACACACTACATTCCAGTGGTTCTCAAAGTGTAGCCCTTGGGCCAGCAACATCAGCATCACCTGGGAACATAGTTGAGTACAGATTCTCGGGGCCCCACTACAGTCACCTTCAGGTGACTCTCATGCCCACTTGAATTTGAGAGCCACCAAGCTGTTCGGTGCTAGTCAATTTGCCCCCAACCAATTTCCCAAATGGCCAACTTACTGCAAATCAGTATGTCAAATGAAAATTTGAAATTAAAAAAATTAAAACTTGCCAAATTAAACAAATGCATGAGTTTCCATAAAAAAATATAAAAGGCAAAAACAAAAACAGCAACCCCACACTAATTTGTGCACCTTTAACCTTTTGACTTGAGAAATATAAAGAGAATTCAATTTTGTTTACTGATAATGAGAGAAGTCTTATGGGAACTGTTCCCTTAGATTCTGCAGTTTGGCTAACTTTATAGAAGTAAACTTAATAGTAGTAAAAAACAAAAACAAAACTTCACTATGCTATGTGGCATTTAGTTCATGCTGATTTAATTTTAAAAAGTGATTTTTTTAAACATTTGCCAATGTATCAATATTCATCTTTTAGCAATTTTGTTTATTTAAATTTTATCAATGCCTAAGGAATGTACATATTTTGGGAGTACATGTGATAATACAGTCATAATTTTTAATGGCCAAATCAGTGTATTTGAGATATCTATTACCTTAAAACTGTCTTTTCTTTTTGCTTGAAACATTCAAATCATTCTCTTCTAGCTATTTTCAAATGTACAATAGATTACTGTAAACTATAGTCACTCTACTGATCTAATGCTAGGTCTTATTTCTTCTATTAAACTGTCTATTTGTACCCATTATTCAATATCCCCATCATCCTCCCCCTTTCAATTACCCTTCCCAGCCTACTGGGAGGCTAACCACTAGTCTACTTTCTGTCTTCATGAGATTCACTTTATTAGCTCTCACATGTGAGTGACAACATATGATATTTGTCTGTGTTTGGCTTATTTCACTTAATATAATGACTTCTATTTCCATCCATGTTGCTGCAAATGACCAGATTTCATGTTTGTGACTAAATATTTCTTTGAGTATATATACCACGTTTTCTTTACCCATTAATTCACTGATGAGCACTAAGTTAACTCCACTTTTTTTTTTTTTTAAGACAAGAGTTTTGCCCTGCCATCCAGGTTGGAGTGCAGTGGCATGATCTCGGCTCACTGCAACCTCTGGCTCCCGGATTCAAGCAATTCTGCTTCCTCAGCCTCCTGAGTAGCTGGTGTGTGCCATCACACTGGCTAATTTTTGTATTTTTAATGGAAATGGGGTTTCACCACATTGGCCAAGGCTGGTCTCGAACTCCTGACCTCAAGTGATCCACCCGCCTCAGCTTCCCAAAGTGCTAGAGTGCTGAGATTACAGGTGTGAGCCACCTCATCCAGCCCAATTCCAAATTTCAACTATTGTGAATAGTGCTACAACAAACATGGGCATTCCTTTCCCATGTTTTCTCAGGAATCATAAACATGATTTCTTTTCTTTTGGAAAAGAAAATATATTTTTTTACACACATATATATATATATTTTACACACACACACACACACACACACATAGACACATATATTACAATATACTGATTTCCTTTATTTTGGATATACCTAGTAGTAAAATTGCTGGGTCATATGCTAGCTACATTTTTAGTTTTTTGAGGAACCTCCAAATGTTCTCCATAGTGGCTGTACTAATTTACTCCCATCCACAGTGTACTAGGGTTCCCCTTTCTCCACATCATTGCCTATCTCTCACCATGCAAAATATTTGTTACTATTGTCTGTTTTATAGGAGCCATTCTAATAGGATTCAACTTCTTCATAGTTTAGTCTTGAGAGGGTGTAAGTGTCCAGTAGTTTATCCATTTCTTCTAGATTTTTCTGTTTTATTTGCATAGAGGTATTTATAGTATTCTCCGATGGTAGTTTGTATTTTTATAGGATCAGTGGTGATATCACCTTTATCATTTTTTATTGTATCTATTTGATTCTTCCCTTTCTTCTTTATTAGTCTGGCTAGCAATCTATCTATTTTGTTGAACTTTTAAAAAAGAAAACAGATCCTAGGTTCATTGATTTTTTTGAATGATCTTTTGTCTCTATCTCCTTCAGTTCTGCTCTAATCTTAGTTATTTCTTGTACTCTCCTAGCTTTTGAATTTGTTTGTTCTTGCTTCTCTAGTTTTTTTTAATTATGATGTTAGGGTGTCGATTTCAGATCCTTTTCTTTTGTGCATTTAGTGCTATAAATGTCCCTCTACACACTGCTTTAAATGTGTCCCAGACATTCTGGTACATTGTGTCTTCGTTCTCATTGGTTTCAAAGAACATCTTTATCTCTGCCTTCATTCATTTTTTAATTCAGGAGCAGGTTGTTCAGTTACCACGTTGTTGTGCCATCTTGAGTGAGTTTCTGAATCCTGTCTTCTAATTTGATTGCATTGTGGTCTGAGAGACTATTTATCATGATTTCCATTATTGTGCATTTGCTGAGGAGTGTTTTACTTCCAATTATGTGGTCAATTTTAGAATAGGTGTGATGTGGTGCTGAGAAGAATGTATATTCTGTTGATTTGAAGTGGAGGATTCTGTAGATGTCTATTCAGTACACTTAGTCCAGAGCTGAGTTCAAGTCCTGGATATCCTTGTTAATTTTCTGTTTTGTTGATCTGTCTAATATTGACAGTGGGGTGTTAAAGTCTCCCACTATTATTTAGGGTGGGAGTCTAAGTCTCTTTGTAGGTTTCTAAGAACTGGCTTTATGAATCTGGGGTGCTCTTGCATTGGGTGCATATATATTTAGGATAGTTAGCTCTTCTTGTTGCATTGATCCCTTGACCATTATGTGATGCCCTTCTTTGTTTCTTTTGATATTTAATAGTTTCAAGTCTGTTTTATCAGAGACTAGTATTGCAACCCCTGTTTTTTTTTTTTTTGTTTTTTTTTTGTTTTTTACTTTCTGTTTGATTGGTTTATCTTCCTCTGCCCTTTTATTTTGAGAATGTGTGTGTCTTTGCATGGGAGATGGGTCTCCTGAATACAGCACATTGATGGGTCTTGACTCTATCCAATTTGCCTGTCTGTGTTTCTTAATTGGGGCATTTAGCCCATTTACATTTAAGGTTAATATTGTTATGTGTGAATTTGATCCTGCCATTATGAAGCTAGCTGGTTACTTTGCCCAATAGTTGATGCAGTTTCTTCATACTGTCAATGGTCTTTACAAGTGGGAATGTTTTTGCAGTGACTGGTACCGGTTGTTTCTTTCCCTGTTAGTGCTTCCTTCAAGAGCTCCTGTAAGGCAAGCCAGGTGGTAAAAAATTTCTCAGCATTTGCTTGTCTGTAAAGGACTTTATTTCTCCTTCACTTAGGAAGCTTAGTTTGGCTGAATATGAAAGTCTGGGTTGAAAATCCTTTTCTTTAAGAATGTGCATATTGGCCTCCACTCTCTTCTGGCTTGAAGGGTTTCTGCTAAGAGATCTGCTGTTAGTCTGATGAGCTTCCCTTTGTGGGTAACCCAACCTTTCTCCCTTGCTGCCCTTAGCATTTTTTCCTTCATTTCAACATTGGTGAATCTGACAATTACATGTCTTGGGGTTGCTCTTCTCGAGGAGTATATTTGTGGTCTTCTTTGTATTTCCTGAATTTGAATGTTGGCCTGCCTTGCTAGGTTGGGGAAGTTCTCCTGGATAATATCCTGAAGAGTGTTTTCCAACTTGGTTTCATTCTCCTCGTCACATTCAGGTACACCGATCACATGTAGATTTGGTCTTTTCACATAATCTCACATTGCCTGATCACTCTTTTGAGCTGATCTTCAATCTCTGATATCCTTTCTTCTGCTTGATGAATTCAAGCAGAAGAATTGATTATTGAAACTGGTGTATGCTTTGCAAAGTTCTTATGCTGTGTTTTTTAGCTACATCAGGTCATTTATGTTCTTCTCGAAACTGGTTATTCTAGTTAGCATTTCATCTAATCTTTTTTCAAGGTTCTTAGCTTCCTTCCATTGAGTTAGAACATGCTCCTCTAGCTCAGAGAAGTTTGTTATTACCCACCTTCTGAAGCCTGCTTTGTCAATTCATCAAACTCATTTCT